GCTAATAGCATGCTTTATAGAATGACTGGGTGATGCTGTCATTGACGCTGACTTCATGGGATGCGTGTTCGTAGCTGCCTCGGTTGCATTTCTAAGGACCTAGCAGTTGGAGTAATGTGCAACTTTTTGCATTTAGTGGTAGAACACTAACCAGCAATTTATGTTTTTACTTTTGAGCAACTGAACCTCTATCAAACTTGGGGGGACAGAAAATACTCTGAATGAATTGAACTGCTTCTAGATGCAGTCTTGCTTGCAGTCTTCTCACCTATCAGATTTCTGTCATTACCTTTCACTGCATGGCCATTGCCATAGAAAGTTTCTCTTTCAAACCTAGGATGATGGACAACACTGTAGATATCTTTTAAAAGGGAAAATATAAAATACCACGTCATAACGATTGACCCCTGTAGTGGACAGTTTGGTAGATTATGCCTTCAAGTGCAGGTGTTGGAGAGAGAGATAATATTGTAGTATTGAGGGGAAGAAACTTGAGTAACATTGCCTACTGGTACTCTTAAACATTTAATTTATCTTAAATTGGTATTCTGCCCTGATTCATTTGTTGCTAGTGGCACAGGTCCTATTTATTTAGTCATTTTATAAACACTCTTGACTTATTACAGGGAGATTAGGAGACTAAATGATCTACAGCAGAGTATATCAAGGGCTTGACATGAGCACAAATGTTCTGTAGCTAAGGTTGGACCTTTAACCCTAGTCCTAAGTGAGTCACAGCAGTATGCATCATACTGCACTTTAGCCATCGCCAGCCTCTGGTGTCTCTGGTAAAACTGGGGCTCAGGAGCAAGGATGCTAGAAAATAAAGAATCAGTTTAGTTTTATTGCTAACCTCATGCATTGTGCCATTTTGAGGTTATCTTTGGTCAACCCTGCTTTGCATATGCTGTGTGCTTGCAATGTAATGTCTTGCATCAAATGTTAGACTAATGTACAGCACCCCTCTCCATGGAATCTTCCAAGTAACTCTTTAAAAGCTCGTTGCTCCAGGGGACTTAGTTGCACACGGCACTGCTACTGTTAAATCCTAAGGACCGTTGCAAGTCTTGTATTTGAAAAATCAAGAGTTTCTGATGACTGGCCTCACTGTTTTGTGATTGGTATACTGTGCTTAAAGAGAGATCCACACTTTATTCTTTAGGCCATTCTTGCTCCTCAGCTGGAGGGGGAGTGTCATGAGATCAGCCTCATGTCACCCTGAGGCAGCCTTGGCCGTAGAGCAGAACTGCAGAGTTTCATCAGACCCCCAGGGTCAAGAAAGCTTTCTCTAGGTGCAGAATTAAGTCTTCAGGTTAAAGAAAAGATTTGACAAATACATCTGCGCTATTTCCAGTGGAACACAGAATCTGTAAGCCTTCACTGGGAACACATTCCTTTGAGTTAATAGCTGCTTAGGAGAAGTGGAAATTACTGCCTTTGTAGGAACTATGAAAATCTAGTAGGACCCAAATTGAATCTCTTTTGATGTCTTCCTTCATTTTGTGCAAAATGAGCAAGTTTTCAGTTACTTGCTTCTTAAATCTACTGTTTCATTACCAAAAGTCATGAGCAACACCACAATAACAGCTCACTGAAAGCAACAAAACAGAAAAAATCCCTTTTACTTCAGCACCCTGTTACGGGTGGTTCCAAAAAGTACTCTGACAAAGGTGGCAGGGCATTTGTGTCCTGTTTCAGGGTAAACTGCAGCATCTTTTTCCATCTTTTTTTTCTTTTCTCTTCTTTTTAGCCAAGTCCTTGACTGGAAAAGGCCACTATATGAAAAAGATCCGCTACCATGGGAGAGGCATGTTTGGCATCATGGACATGGTCAGGTGCCATTACTTTGTGAAGCTGGTGGAAGGTCCTCCACCCCCTCCAGAGCCACCAAAGACTGGGTTTGATCAAGCTAAGGAATATGTGGAGCAGCTCCGAAACAGAACTATTATTAATACACTGTAATGCTCTACACCAGACATTGTTGTATGTTCTTTACAGTTTGGGCGGGGGGGGAATGCTTGTGAGTGTATTCAAAAAAAAAAATTCAAAAGCAAGTCTGAGTTGTCTGTTTGGGTGTTCTTACTTGTCTGTTGCCTTGTGGAAGTCTTGAGTTATGCAGGGTCACAAGACTTTTTTTTCTCTCTTTCCCCCTCCCCTACTTTAATATAGCACTGTGGATCTGCAAGATCCTTGGAAATGCAGTACAGAGTGTTCCTTCTCCTTGGCAATTTGCAGAGAAACATACTAAGTCTTTATTTAAATCCTTTCCCCTCTCCCTCCACCTGAACTGCCAATTCTAGAATGTATGCTGAGAATGCAAGAATTAAGTCAGGAAATTCAGTTGTCCTCAAATTCGTGCTGTGGGGCCTTATACAGTAGCTATTTTTGGTACTGTAGGTATATCTGCATGAAAGGAACTGGTGCAGATCATGGTGCAAGATCAGGATGTTAACCAGTAAAACCAAAGTTTCAGGATTTCACAATTAGGCAGGGCAGTGTAGGGTCAAACAGACAGTTATAATTCACTTTGAAGTTTTAAACTCCCTAATACTGACCCTTTCACTTAATGCTAGTGTAGATTAAAAGTACCTGGCGCACGAGCTCTTTAAAAGTCGTCGTCTAAAGTATGCACGTGAAGTGCTATTGGTTTTCCGGACTGTTTGGTATCTGTTGCTCTGGGGTGAGTTTAACCATTTTTCAAAGCATGTCTGCTCCTTTTGCCATCAGTTAAACTTGGATTCTTATGGACCTGTACTTAATGTCCTCTAACAGGTTACTGAGATTAAGAAGGTGGGGACAAACGTTCAATTTCGTTTCTCTGGCAGAGAACATGCTGCAGTTTCATTACTGCCCTTGAGATAGCTCTCTCACGCTGGGGAAAGAAGGAATGATTTTTTTTTTTATAGCCCATTTTGGAACAGCTAATAAAGAATTGACTGAAACTTCAGTTTGGTTTCTTTACACTGAGGCAGTAGGTGGCACTATCTAGTTTGAGTTGAGATGTCACGGGAAACCCGCAGCTTGTTAAAGCTTGGTACTTGGCCCTCATGATGGTATTAATAGTTTCTGATATATGCATAGAGTTATGGCTGCTGTTAGCAGAAGTTTTGTATGGGTAGCAAGAGCATAATATGAAATGGCTTACTTGCTGATTGCTGAGAGTAAACTCATTTTTCTGTACTGTATTCAGACCAGATAAGCTTTGTACTTTTGAGGCAAGTAAAATACAGTGCTCCTTGTGCTTAGTGGGGAAAACTTGTTACATATGTGGTCCATAGGGTTGATATAGTTTTCTCATGTCTTTGTATTACTGCTGTTTACAGCTTACATTTTATATATGAGGGCATTTCTTCCCAAGTACTTATTAATCATTTCTCATGGCCAGCTGAAGTCTTACAGATAAGAGAAGCCAAATGCAAGGTGAACTTCTGTGATGCTTGTAATAGCATTGCCTTAATAGGTGCCAAGCATGAAAAGAGAATGACCTGTAATTTTGCTTATGCAGGTGTCCAGAATACATGCCTTCCCTTCAGCTCTGGAAGTATCACACTGTGATTGTGATGTGAGATGGGGGAGGTGTTTAGGTTCTTATGCGAGTACTACACCCATTATGCTGGCAGTTTTTTCTTTGCCAGGCTTTGATTTTCTACAGCAGCTTCTGTGAAAAAGAGAAATTTGCTGTGAGAATACAAGCTGCATCTTCCACTTTTTAATATTTTCATTCACCTGAACTGTAAGGCCCTCATTCTCGCCTACCTGTAACATCTTAGATTAGTTCTAAGACCCTCATTCCATCTCTTATAAGTTGTACTAGGTACTGTGGGTCCTAAAAGAAGTGGGCAGGGTTTTTGCAGACCAGGACCGGTATTGGTGCCTCTACCCACTGGTTACCACTGCATCCTACTTGACGTTATAGTCACTAACAATTCTATTTTTAGGTTTGTTTCCCCTGAGAATCTCATTCCTAACAAAATGGAGAAGAGATGCTCTTCTGTGCTACTTGTAAATGCCTGGTGCATGTTGAAGAACTACTCTTAAATTTTCCTGCTCCTATCCATAGCTGCAGTGGTACAACTACATTGCATATGGTTTAAGTTATAACAGACTCAGATGACTTAATCCATTTGGGGTCACGTGCTGGGGGAGGGAAAACCATTGAACTTCAAAATACACAAATCCAAATTTAACAGCGATTGTCACTTAACCTCTAAGTCTCAGTTTCCAGGAATCCTTTCAAGCTGGCTCTCTTCTGTGCATTGAAGATTGCCCTTCAGATGTTCACTTGACCTCCAGACAAGGTCCTTTCCTTATATGGATATCCTTGCTCTATTAGCAATCTGCGGGTTGTGGGGTGAAGGGAAGGAAAGATGTGGCTGTGCCCTTTTCAGCTGCTTTATCATGCATGAAGACAGCTCAGGCACTTCTTAAAAATATCCTGAACTGCTTTTTATTTCCCATTTAAAATGCAGCTTGTGTTTGGCCTGTGATAAATGGAGACCTAGTGCAATAATGGCATTGCAAGAGGCAAGGTGAGCTACAGAGGAAGGAATTTTTAGTTATTGTTAACTTTTCTTACCTAAGGGTTTTGACATCAGTGACTAGCACTTTAAATGAAGAAAATCTTTGTTAAGGCTCATGTTCTTGTCCTTTCAGTTAGGACATAGGTCTTTCCTGGTTTCTGCTGCATATTGCAGCCAGTTTTGTCACTCCTGGGTTTTTTTTCTCACCTTTGAAATCTCAGGGGAAGAGAAACCCTTTCAGGCTTCCTTTCTGATACAGTGAAAGAAGCTGAGCTCAATACTAGAAAAAAATCTCTGCAGGTCACTTTTCAACTCCATAGTACTTCTTTCCCTTACAAATGTGTTCTACTTTCAGTTGATCATTACACTACATACTATGGTATCATGATGCCCCTGCCCTATTACATTCTGAGAAACTGGATGACTTGAGGAAAGAATGAGTCTGAACTAGCATGGCTGCTATCTTTTCACTAGTAATGAGGAAGAAATGGCTTGTCAGTAAAGGAGGTTCACTTGTTGGTGCATAAGAACTTTGTGGAAGTTTAACCAGAATCTGCTCTGGACTGTTCATTACATCTCTAATGGTAAAGTTTTATGCTGTCAAGTTCTATATTTACATAAAGTCTCTCTCTTTTTTTGCTTTCCACAGTGCATTTCTGGTAATTAGTATATCTGTATTTCAGTTAGGTATCTGAGAGAAGGCCAGGCAGAGAGTTCTATATTAAGAACTATAACAGGCCTTTAGTAGAAGGTGATCATTAGCAGTGCAACCTCCAATTAAGGAACACTCTTGAGTGGAGCCCTGTAGGGGGAGGTGTTAATACCTAGTCCTTTAATACTAATTTTATTAAACATTAATACATAATGCTGAGCTAACACTGCCATATATCTGCTGATTATACAGAAAATGGCAAGCAAACAAGCAGGCGTGAAGGCAATTCGTGGCTTCAGTGGGGCTGGGAGAAATTAGAGCTTCGGGCTGTACTCAACAACATAAGAGTTACCAGAAGGAAATCTTGAAGCACAATACTAAAACACCCACTAGAGCTGACTGATGACAGGCAGCAATGAACTACAGCAAAGGCAATTATTAGTTTTACCTCATCCTAATGCACACATTTCCAGTGCTCAGCAGTTAGACCAATACTTAAGCCCCTTTGTTTAAATAGAGTCCAGAGCGAGGTGGAGTTTGCATAGGAGTTTGCTGGGAAACTCTCACCTTCCTTCACTGTAAGGTTGGTGAAAGGAAACAGGCTAGCAAGGAAAAGGGAACTTTTTGGGACCAAGAAGCAGTGAACAGGTCAGCTTACAGGGGAGTTTGCTAGGGAAGTTCTGCTTGGAAAGAGGGACAGGAAGAAAGGCAGTGGATTAAGAGACCCAGAGAAATGGCTGGAGGACATTGCAATGCCAGAGCTACTGCCAGCTCATCCTCTGCTTGCACCTGTGAGCTATCTGTCCAGGCATGACCACACCACCAAGGCTTCCACCCAGTTCCTGGTTTGGGCTGTGGAGACTGCAGCTCCTTGCAGGTTCCTTCCAGTGATGGCCAGGTTGGAGAGTGCCTGTGATGTGAGCATTGCCTCCTGGTGGTGTCCCTCAGGGAGTAGGCAAGAGAGCTACAGGAGGTAGTGGCAACCAGAATGTTCTGAAGCATCCTCTGCCATGAGGACTTCATCAATTCGATGCTGAAGGAGACCTCTAGGACCAGAGGTAGTGTCAGAGAAGGAAGAGGACATGGACTCCCAGGAAGGTGGAAGCTGGAAGCCTGTGGCCTCAGGTAGTGGACACATCCTGCAGATCAATGCATGGCAGCACAGATGGTGTCACCAGCAGGACTTTGGCTTCTTCGCTCATGAGAGATTGTTCCAAGAAGAAGGATTGCTAGGAGGGAAGAGCATCTTTTCAGACCAGCTTGCTTACCTATTGAGGGGGGCTTTAAAATAGGTTGGCTGGGGGTGGAGATCAAAGCCCCAAAGTAAGTGGGGAAGCAGGTGACCTGGAGGAAGCACAAGCAGGAAGGGACAACTTTTTCATTCTTCCTGAGAAAGTAGGGCAATTGGGTAGTTACCTTGCATGTCTACATGAATGCACAGAGCCTGGGAAACGAGCAGGAAGAATGGGAAATCCTTGCACAGTCACAGAACTAAGACAAGATTGCAATAACAAAGACTTGGTGGGAGTTTGCATGGCTGGAGTGCTGTCATGGATGGGTATAAACTGTTCAGGAAGGACGGGAGGGGAAAAGAAGAGGAGGAGCTGTTCTTTATGTAAAAGAGCCATATCATTGCTCAGAGCTCCAGTATAAAACTCGAGATAGGCCTGTCGAAAGTCTCTGGGTTAGAGTCAGAGAGTACAGCAACAAGGGTGACACCATGCTGGGGGTCTGCTATAGACCACCAGACGAGGAGAAAGTAGTGGATGAGGCTTTCTTCAAACAGCTAGCAGAAGTTTCCTGATCACAGGCCTTGGTTCTAATGGGGGACTTCAATCACTTTTACATCTGCTGGGAAGGCAATACAGCTT